CCTAACCCTAAGTTAACCCTAAGTTAACCCTAATCCTTAGTCAACCCTAACCATAAGTTAACTCTAACCCTAAGTTAACCCTAACCCTAAGTCAACCGTAACCCTCAGTCAACCCTAACCCTAAGCTAACCCAGACCCTAAGTGCAAACCTAACCCTAAGTCAACCCTAACCCTAAGCTAACCCTGACCCTAAGTGCAACAATAACCTTAAGTCAACCCTAACCCTAAGCTAACCCAGACCCTAATTGCAACAAGAACCCTAACTTAACCATAACGCTATGTTAACTCTAATCCTAATTTAACCCTAACGCTAAGTTAACCTTAACCCTAAGTTAACACTAACCCAAAGTCAACCTTAACCCTAAGTGCAAACCTAACCCTAAGTTAACCCTAAGTTAACCCTAATCCTTAGTCAACCCTAACCATAAGTTAACTCTAACCCTAAGTTAACCCTAACCCTAAGTCAACCGTAACCCTCAGTCAACCCTAACCCTAAGCTAACCCAGACCCTAAGTGCAAACCTAACCCTAAGTCAACCCTAACCCTAAGCTAACCCTGACCCTAAGTGCAACAATAACCTTAAGTCAACCCTAACCCTAAGCTAACCCAGACCCTAAGTGCAACAAGAACCCTAACTTAACCATAACGCTATGTTAACTCTAATCCTAATTTAACCCTAACGCTAAGTTAACCTTAACCCTAAGTTAACACTAACCCAAAGTCAACCCTAACCCTAAGTGCAAACCTAACCCTAAGTTAACCCTAAGTTAACCCTAATCCTTAGTCAACCCTAACCATAAGTTAATCTAACCCTAAGTTAACCCTAACCCTAAGTCAACCCTAGCCCTAAGTCAACCCTGACCGTAAGTTAACCCTAACCCAAATTAACCCTAACCCTACGTCAACCGTAACCCTAAGTTAACCCTAACCCTAAGTTAATCTTAAACCGAAGTTAACCCGAACCCTAACCTAACCCTAACCATAAGTTAACCCTACCCCTAAGTCAACCCTAACCCTAAGTTAACCAAGACCCTAAGTGCAACAATAGCCCTAAGTTAAACATAAGGCTACGTTAACTCTAATTTTAAGTTAACCCTAACCCTAAGTTAACCTTATCCGTAAGTTAACTCTAACCCTAAGTCAACCCTAACCCTAAGTTAATGCTAACGCTATGTCAACCCTAATCCTAAGTTAACCCTAACCCTAAGTTAATCCTAACCCTAAGTTAACACTAACCCAAAGTCAACCCTAACCCTTAGTGCAAACGTAACCCTAAGTTAACTCTAACGCTAAGTCAACCCTAACCGTAAGTTAACCCTAGCCCTAAGCTAAACCTAATCCTAAGTGCAAACCTAACCCTAAGTTAACCATAACCCTAAGTCAACCCTAACCCTAAGTTAATGCTAACGCTAGGTCAACCCTAATCCTAAGTTAACCCTAACCCTAAGTTAACCCTAAGCCTAAGTTAAACCTAAGTGCAAACCTAACCCTAAGTTAACCCTAAGTTAACCCTAATCCTTAGTCAACCCTAACCATAAGTTAACTCTAACCCTAAGTGAACCCTAACCCTAAGTTAACCCTAACCCTAAGGGCAAGCCTTACCCTACGTCAACCCTAACCTTAAGTTAAACCTGACCCTAGGTGCAAACCTAACCCTAAGTCAACCCTAATCCAAAGTTAAACCTAACCCTAAGTTAACCCTAACCCTAAGTTAACCCTAACCCTAAGTTAACCCTAACCCTTATTGCAAACGTAACCCTAAGTTAACTCTAACGCTAAGTCAACCCTAAACCTAATTAAAGCTAACGCTAGGTCAACCCTAAGCTTAAGTTAATCCTAAGTGCAAACCTAACCCTAAGTCAACCCTAACCCTTAATGGAAACGTAACCCTAAGTTAACCCTAACCCTAAGTTAACCCTAACCCTAAGTTAACCTTAACCCTAAGTTAACCCTAACCCTAAGTCAACCCTAGCCCTAAGTTAAACCTAACCCTAAGTGCAAACCTAACCCTAAGTCAACCCAAACCCTAAGCTAACCCTGACCCTAAGTGCAACAATAATCCTAAGTCAACCCTAACCCTAAGCTAACCCAGACCCTAAGTGCAACAATAACCCTAACTTAACAATAACGCTATGTTAATTCTAATCCTAAGTTAACCCTAACGCTAAGTTAATCCTAACCCTAAGTTAACACTAACCCAAAGTCAACCCTAACCCTTAGTGCGAACGTAACCCTAAGTTAACTCTAACGCTAAGTCAACCCTAACCGTAAGTTAACCCTAGCCCTAAGCTAAACCTAATCCTAAGTGCAAACCTAACCCTAAGTTAACCATAACCGTAAGTCAACCCTAACCATAAGTTAACCCTAACCCTAACCCAAATTAACCCTAACCCTACGTCAACCGTAACCCTAAGTTAACCCTAACCCTAAGTTAATCTTAAACCTAAGTTAACCCGAACCCTAACCTAACCCTAACCATAAGTTAACCCTACCCCTAAGTCAACCCTAACCCTAAGTTAACCAAGACCCTAAGTGCAACAATAGCTCTAAGTTAAACATAAGGCTACGTTAACTCTAATCCTAAGTTAACCCTAACCCTAAGTTAACCTTATCCGTAAGTTAACTCTAACCCTAAGTCAACCCTAACCCTAAGTTAATGCTAACGCTATGTCAACCCTAATCCTAAGTTAACCCTAACCCTAAGTAATGATAGTTAAGGATCAAGGGTCTAGTCCTCGGTGTCTACAAATTTTTATCTTGTTCTATCTCATTTCTCGTTGGAGTGATACTAATTCAGTTTCAAATTAAACGTAAAGTTATTGTGATTCAGTTGATTTATCTTTTGTGCTGTTTGTTTGTAAATCGTCGCATATATTCTGGATTTCCATTACCGAAGTTGCTTATCGTGTTGCAGTGCCTATCCTTACGAATCGTGAAATTTGGTTTCGTCTTTTTCTCGTTTTCTGCTTATTGGATTTGCTTCAAATTTTCCCTGTGGTCTACGTGTTTTGTTCCTGTTATCGTCTCAAGTTTTAGTGTTTTAACGTTAAACTCAATTTAAATAATTTGAGTTATAAAATTTGACCGTTGGGATTATCTGAATAAATAGCGTCAAGTGTCGTTCGTCATGGCAACATCTTTATGTACCTGTAAAGGAGTTTCCGTCGTTTAAAGTCAAGTTTCTACGCTGGAATCGTTTTTGTCTGTTATTCGTAACATTTTGAGTTACTTATTGTTCTCCATGGTGCAGTTTGTCGTGTGTTTTTTGTGCGTTAATGTTTCATTTATATTCTGTCGCGTATGAACGAATTCCTGACCTTTGACTTTGGTTTTATATCTTGAATAACGTCCCTGGTTTCAACACAATAAGGGGACTCCCCTATTAGCTATACATAAAACTAAAATTCCGAAATTTGGTGTATAAAGTGCTTATTATCAAGATTATTGGATAAACTTCTGTCGCTGTTGTGAATTTCAACCGTCAACCTTTATTTCCCACCTTGAATTATTGTTCATCTTTAAATCTATCTACGATTATGATAACCATCAGGCTTATCATAGTTCTCATCCTTTTCCTGCTGCTGTTTACTCGACAGAAAACGTCACGACCTCTCTACAACGATAAGAGCCTACCCTCCAACGTGACTGTTAGTTCCAAACTTGCCACTATACCTGACAGAATTTGCTCTCTTTGGTGTTTTACCCGTGATAGTAAATTAAGGAACATTAGTTGTCCACCGAACCACCGCTATGCCTATGGCCTAACCTTTCAAGTCAACCGTAGAACTTCGCATGCGTTAATTTGTATTCTCCTTTCTGGGGATATCTCCTTAAACCCGGGTCCTAATAGTCAACATCAACAACCACAGATGCAAAGTTTGAAAAGTTATCCTGCAACATGCCTTGTCATTAATGCCCGTAGTCTAAAAAGTTTGCACGTAACAGATGACAAACAAGTATGTAATTTATCTCGTTTCCAAGAGCTTGTTTATTCCGAGTCAGCCGATCTGGTGTGGGTCACAGAAACGTGGCTTACTAAAGACATTCATAACACTGAAATTCTGCCAACTGGTTATTCAATCTATAGGAAAGACCGTAAAACGCGCAACGGTGGCGGTGTTCTACTAGCAATTAAATCAGATTCATTTAATTCATCTCGAGAACTAGTTAATCCATCTGACCTCGAAGTGACCTCTGTAGAAATAATCACCCACTCAAAACTAAAACTGTTAATCTGCTGTTGCTATAGACCACCTAATGCTGAAAAGATCTGGTTAGATAAATTTAACTCGATTTTGGCTGATCTGTCGTCTCGTCATGATAACATTATAATTTGTGGTGATTTCAACTTCCCTAAAGTAAACTGGCTATCTCCTGCTAAAACGTTTGGTGCTGACGAAATCTCATTCACAGAGCAACTGAACGATTTCTACTTAACCCAACTTAACACTCTAGCTACAAGAGGTGTCAATATACTTGATTTAGTTATCTCCACTGTACCGAACCAGATAAATAACATCACTTTGCTCAATCCAGAAAATAGCGGCTTGTTTACTGATCACTCGGTTATTATTTTTGATCTAAAGACATCTATTAGAGCAGGTCCTAGGCTAAACCGATCAGTTTGGGATTTCCGGAGGGGTGACTTCGATGGCCTTCGTTCTGCTTTACAAGCGATTGATCTCTCCACTATAATACAACAAGATTCTGACATAAATGAAGATTGGCTGCTGTGGAAAGACACTTTTCTCACAACAGTTAACGATTTTATCCCTTCTCGAAAGATCAAGGGAAGAAACTCCCCTCCTTGGTTAAATGGCAAAGTCATCCACGCCTTACGGCAAAAGGAAGCTGTGCGACGAAAGCTTAAAACATCTCCGACTGTTTCCTTAAAGACCAAGTTCAGAGAATTACGAGCTAACGTTAAAAAAATGGTTAAAAAATTCTTTTCCTCCCTTGGCTAAAAGGCTGGGAAACAAACTGACGTGATCTACATGAATATGTCCAAAGCCTTTGATAAAGTTAACCACCAAATTCTTATTCATAAACTTTACAACTGCTTTGGCATCTCTGGTAGTTTACTCGGTTGGTTCTCCTCCTACTTGTTGAACAGAAGGCAACGCGTGACTGTTCTAGGGGCTACATCATCTGAAAAACCTGTTATGTCTGGTGTCCCTCAAGGTTCTATCCTGGGTCCAATACTCTTTCTCCTTTATGTTAACGACCTACCTGATGTGGTGAATAACGCAAACGTAGCTTCTTTTGCTGACGACACAAAATTATTCAAGTGTGTCGATTCTCACATAGACGGTGCCTCGATTCAAAGTGATCTTGATAATCTTGAGGAGTGGTCGACTTCTTCTGGACTTGTATTTAATCAAAATAAATGCAAATGTCAGAGAATTACCAGGAAAAAAACGTTAACTACCACCGAATTCCCCTACACCATCAAAAACAAAACCCTCGCAGTAACAACAGAGGAGAAAGATCTTGGCGTTTGGGTTACTAGTAATCTGACATGGTCCAAACACACCCTAGATCGATGTGCCGCAGCCAATAGGATGCTCGGGTTCGTACGTAGATCTGCAACGGAAATCACGGATAAAAGGATTCGCCGTGCATTGTATTTGGCAGTTGTGCGACCAGAGCTGGGCTACGCCACTCAAGTGTGGTCGCCGCAGTCGGTGGAGCTCATCAACCGAGTGGAACGTGTTCAACGCCGAGCTTCAAAGTTTATTCTAGGCCTCCCATTCATGTGTGACGTATCCTATAAAGACAGACTCATTTCGACAGAACTTCTTCCCCTCTCATTTTGGCATGAATATTTAGACTTAATATTTTTCTTCAAAGCTATTACTGGCATTGTATCGATATCTCAAAATTCCTTACCTGAACGTATTGCTCCCGTAAGAGTCACAAGATCATCTGCTAATGTCAACGCAATCTCATTCCGTCAACGAAAACATAAAACAACAACTTATAATCGATCATTCTTTCTTCGAACAACTAGAACTTGGAACTCTCTCCCGGAGCATTTAAGGCTTATTAATCTATCTTTTATCCAATTTAAGAAAGGAATATTAGCATACTACTTGACTGCATTACGATCCTGCTACAACGTTGACGATCCACGAACTTGGAAGACTGTCTGTGTCAAATGTAACAAAAGCAGAAGTCTCATCCGACCATTAACTTGCTGTTACTAGAGGGGCGTTTGCACATTGCGATTTGTCCTGTGCGATTCGGATTTTGTTGTATAATTCATTTGATGCCTCAATTCCAAAAATCTGAATTGAAGCGAAACTTTAATTGCACAATTGACGCGTGCCTACTCGATTGGATTCGCCAAAATACGAGTCGTACACGGCGGATCGCGGTGTGTAAACGTACCTTAAGTAAACTAAGTATAATTACTTAGGTGATTATTGAAAATTTTCCAAGCTGATTCGTTGCCATTGAGGTGATTATAACGTGATAATCACCTAAGTTTTGACTATTAAATGACGAAGAAATGTGTATTTTTATTTTTTTCCCAAATAATCACCTATGAAATTATACTAAAACAATTATTCGCCTTAGGCTCGGTGGTTATTGTTAAATGAAAACTTCGACTTTGTCTCTGTCCCTACTTACCGATAATCACCTAGCCTTCGGCAATAAATTGTTAATTATTTCTGTTTTCTATATTTATATTGATATTTTGTAAAGGGCCCACTGTAATTGGTGTTAAGCTGTTGTGGTGTCCCAGCTTCTTTAATGCATTCATTGTATAATGTTTGGAAGCGAAGCACAATAAATAAATAAATAAATAAATAAATAAATAAATTCGTTGGATGTTATTTGAGGAGTTTTTATTTGAATTCGCGGACTATTTTTACTTAAGGGTACGTTTGAAAGAAACAGAAATACTTAAAGAGGCAAATTAAGTGTAGTATAACGTATACTATGGCTCAAATACAACAATATAAGAAATTATATTTTCCCCGTTGCTGTTGTCGTTGCCGTTCTAGGTTGCCAAACTCTCTATTATCGCCGAGCCAACGGCGCGGAGCGCCGTTCCGGGAGTAAGCCCGGGGCGAAGAACTAATTCAGCCAGGCTATTTATACCCGGGGAAACGAAAGCTTTAGCGAAGTCTAAAGTTCATCAATGATCGCGTGCGTGGGTGACCAACGGTGCTGAGTGGTTGGTCATCCTCAGTGATCTCGAAATATGTGGCGCGGACTGTCATGAATAGCGAACATTGTAACAGTTGGTCAAATTTAAAATTTGTTGTTGTATTGTTACGAAAGTATTAGAAATAGTATAAAAATAGTTCAATTTGCACCCCAGGTAATTATAGATACTAGTTACGTCAAATGGAGAGATAATGAGCATTTTTTCTGTAAAACGCAGATAAAGTATATATCATTTCGGACTTGTGTAAAAGTGTCAATTATCTGTCCATTAGGCAAGATAAATAATTTGTCAATTTGTCACAGATGGACGATAACCTTGCATGGTGGGCTGTTGTGTTTACATAATTCAAAGTCCAAGGCTGGTTCTTCTCTGACATGAAAATGTGCATGCTTTCCTGTCAATCATTCTTCGGTATATTTCGCGCTGTTGAGTAATGATAACATTACGTCATCAAGGTCTTGGTTCAATAAAATTGTAAGTAAATTTAGTTTAGTAGGTAAAGTAAGGTTCACATAGGTATAGTTTGAAGTTTTTACTATGATATTTTGATGAGTATTTTAAGTTGTGAACATATTTTAATATTGATCGATTGAACAGCGAACCAACTCGACCAGTGCGACAACGCCTTAAATAAACAGAATGTGAGGGCTGGAACGAGCTAGTAACGCCAACCCACACTTTTAAACCTCAACGTTGATTGGCTGGATACAAATCACACCACTTGCTACATCACGTGTAGAAAGATCCCTCAACCGTTAGTATAAAAGTGCGTGCACAACCGAGACTCGCCAGTGGATCCTCAGTGGTTGATATCTCAGTGAATGATCTTTCAGTGGATGAATTCTCAGTGGATGATTTTTCAATGGACAGTGGACGTATGCTGAATAAAACTTAACTGATGAAAAGCTGCAGAAACTCAAACGAAACAAACGAACGACGAAGAAATTAACGAAACAGATCACGAACAGTGAAAGCCAGTTGAAGGCTGAAGTGAACTCTTGGAAAACTACTGCAAGAAGACGAACACTAAAAACTGATAGTTACTAGAGATTGATTGTAAACGATTCCCTACCTCGCGTAGAAAAGAAATAAAAATATACATATTTCTAACAGTATGACAAATGACGACAGCGAAATAAGAAACATTTCTTGCAAATCAGCAAATATATTGTATTTTTGCAAGATTTTGCACGACAAAAAACGTCTAAAAGCGTCTAAAAGAATGGAGAAAAGTCGCCCACGTTAATGAAGGTAACTTTGTTTTTAATATCGATGTATCGTTTGCTTTATAATTGCGGCGTTAAAAATTGATACGATCGTTGCGGATATAAGTGAAAAAAGACAGCATATAATTTCAGTGTATTTTTATTAATTACAACTTTTTTGTATATTAAAATATTTAAATAAAGAGGAAAGCAAAGTAATTCTCATGCAAGAATTTGAAGTCAGTATAAATTATCTCAATTTTCAAACTCAATGTTTTGTACCGATGTATTATCCAGGCATACAATCTACTGAGGTACAATCTCAAAAAGTGAGATATATTGTATTAAGGAAGTAGGTTATAGGAAAAACAGTATCTAGTCTGGGGACGAAACGGCAAGGGGACGGAACGGCAAGGGGACGACACGACCGGGGACGAAACGGCAAGGGAACGAAACGATCCGTGACGAAACGGCAAGGGGACGAAACGATCGGGGACGAAACGGCAAGGGAACAAACGACCAGTTTAAACACCCATTAGCGTCGTTAGTATTGCATTTTTGGTCTTGTCATTAGGCCGTTCGGTTGACGAACGAGACATTCGATCGTTTTTTTTCTTTCTGGAAACATAAGAGAGTTTCTTTCAGACCGTCGTTTAGTTAATACTAGTTTCACTAACCATTTTCTGTAATCATATTTTCTGCATAGGGTCTGATACAGGGTCGGGATTGGCGATTGCAGGAGGAGTTACAGGGTCTGTGATTTTTTTTGCTGTTGCGGTGTGTACATCTCTATACCTGCTAAGACGTCGCCGAAAAAAAAAGCGGGAAGAATCTGTGCAGGTAAAGAAATTTCAATGATTAAACTTTACAGTGGTGTAATTTCAATCTGTATAAGGAGGTTTAAATTAAGTTTTTCGGCCTTTATGGATTTAAAATAATAATTGATTTAACGAGCTTACGGCGGCCAGTCCGCAACTTTCAATTGGTATAAGTAACAATTAATGAACTACGATGGATTTGTAGTGACAAATAGTAGGTAGTGACAGTCCGTTTACATATATGGATAATAACTAGTGAGATAGTATGTTCTTAAATTATTCAAAGTTTGTTTATTAGGAAGCGATATTGTTCGGGTAAAATTTTGAGTTATTATCAACATTTTTGTGTTTCCAGTGTGCCAAGATTCCAAAGTTGATCTGTGTCGGTAGTTGAACGGTCTTCAAAATCTATCTGCTGATCATTTCTCCAGGCATGATTCGCTATGTTTGATCCACTTTTACAAAGTTTATCATTTATTGTGTAGCAATCAGCCCAATGGGCCGCCTGCGCTGTGGCGATGCTCGCTGTGCATGACGGAGTCGTTACTTTGCGTTGGAACGACATGATGACTGTAGGAGCGAGCGATTTTGTTTTGAAGATGAAATGGCGGATTTTTAACAACTTTTTTGTCCATCGATAGGTTTTACCCATAGGAAAACAACAAGAGATATTTGAATGAGATATTTCATGGTGTTCCGTGTGTTAATGAAGAAGAAAATGCATCAGCAAGAGGTTACATTGTGAACACGTTTCGCAAAAAAAAATATCCTCACAAACAAAAACATGTAAACTCGCGTTTTAATTTAAGATCGGAAATTTTTTGTCAAAATTTTTTGTCATTCGATAAATCTATGAATTCCATTTTAAGCCTTATTTCGAATTTGGCAACCTTTATCATGAACTAAATGTTCCAAGCTTTAATCCAGAAACCAAGCGTCTCTTCCCTTTATTTCCAACCTTAAAGTGCATATGACAAGAATTTTTTTATTTTCTTAAATGAAAGAACTCTGTAAGCTATAGTGTATCTTATTTTTCAGTTTCTTGTTTTCATGGTTTGTTCCCGAGATATTTCAATTTTTTGGTATGTAAATGAGTGTGTATATCTCCGCTAATTTATGACGTCACGTTGCTTGCAAGCTCAACATACCCCGGTTATAAATCTATTAACTCTAAAAACTGTAGATACCAGTTCACGTTTTTCTCCAGTATTTTATCACATTTACCAGTGTGTGAAGTTAGAAATTATTATCTTGGATGATAGCCGTGATATTCAACCATTTTGAAGAGCTTGCAACCAACGTGACGTCATAAATTAGCGGACATATTCATGATCACACTCATTTACATACCAAACAAATTGAAATATCTTGGAACAAACCATGAAAACAAGAAACTGAAAAATAAGTTACACTACAGCTTAAAGAGTTCTTTCATTTAAGAAAATAAAAAAAATCATGTCATATGCACTTTAAATTTGCTCGATCAGAATAAATTGACCCTAGCCATAGCAAAATATTCTCTTTATCTCAGCGTTGTTTCCTAATTCTTTACGATCTACTTCCCAGTAAAATTTTAATATTTTATTGGTAATTTTAATTTGTACTGTTTGTCTGTAATTCCCCCTAGAAAAGGAAAGGATTAGCGAATTAAATAAATAAAGTTCTTCAATAATCGTGGGTGCATGGCTATGGTTCACCGTTCACTGCGCGTGGTTGGTGCAGGGTGGTCATGCTCACTGATTTAAAAACTGATAAAACCATTATGTTTAACGAACATGAAGTATTGAAAGCAGTTGTTTTGGTAACACGATAAAAATGATAAATAATATATTAAGAAGATATGAAAAATAGTTTTAAATTTGAAAAGTCCCACAAAAACATCACTTTACTGAAAATTCTCAATTTCCCAAGCATATAAATATGTATGTTAGGTATGTTATTATACGTTATTATACGTAATATAAGCTTCAATTTAATGACATACATATACATACACATTTTATTTAGCGAGGCTAGCCCCGACAACTACAAGAGTCGGTTTCCACGGGGGCGTCCATATAAAAAATATTACAAAAAATATAAAAAGGAAGGAAAGTAGTCTACTACTATATGTACATTGTCAAAAGCTACTGTTCCACGATGGTGTGTCCCAGATAAAGATGTGATTAACTGAATCCAGACTCGGTTATTAACATCAAATAATTTGTTTTATACAACTTTTAAATATATAAATTGACTGAGCTTGCTTAGCTTCAAGCGGAAGGTTATTCCAAAGATAAGCACCGCTATATTTAAAGCTGCTTTTGAGAAATTCTCTGTTTGGCTTTGGGAGGGTCAGATCAGTTTGAGAATTTCTAAGATTGTAATTGTTTAGTAAAATATTTCTACTTATGAATGAGTTGGTGTAGCACTATTACTAAAGACTTTGTATAAGAATATTGCATTGGTATAAGTACCATCTTGTTTTCAAATTATTCCAGTCAAGAGTTCGAAGAACGTCAGCAGATCTGATTTCATAACTGGCGCCAGCTATTATTCTGGCGGCCCCGGGATTTTGGAACCTTTCTAAATTATCTCTTAGTGTTTTGTTTCAAACCCCCCAAAGGGGAGAGCAGTAATCGAAGTAAGGCTCTATCAGAGCATTATAAATTGACATCAATGTGTTTTCAGGAACATAGGGCTTGATACGCTTTAAAATTCCTATGCTCGAACCGATTTTTTTGCAAACCATTTCAACAAGCTCGTCCCAATTCAATGTTTCATCAAGTTTGACTCCCAAACACGGGATTGAGTGCACTCTGGGAATCAGCTGATTATTAAATTATGATTTGATCCGACATAAATTAATGTGGCTTTTGTTGAATGATGCTGCAGTTTGTTTTTAACCAGCCATTGACTAACATTGTTTAAATAATGATTTAAATTAGCATTAAGTTCTACACAGTCTTTCGCAGATCAAAGTATCTGTGAATCGTCAGCATATAAGCATGGGATTGACTTCTCAAGACAATCAGAAAAACATTAATATACAATAAGAACAATTAAGGACTCAATATTATTATTTTTAAAATTAATGGTTTCTCCCAAAAGGGTTTTTCAGAACCCATTTACAAAATTATAATTATATAGATCCTTGAGGGACCCCACAAACAATCCTTTCTGGTGCAGTGCTGACATTGCGCCATTGACAAATGACACTTGTTCTCTATCAGAAAGATATAGGATTCAAAAAGTTTTAATTTAATATTAGAAATCCCGAATTGTTCTTGTATTTTGCGGAAAAGAATATTATTATTAAAAGAGTCAAAGGCTTTTCGAAATATCAATTAAAACTACACCATTTAATCCATATTTTCATGCCATGCATCGCACATCTGAATGAGTGCTGCCAGAGTAGAATATTTCGGGCGAAACCCAAATTGATGCTTAGAAAGTAGATTATTAGCGTTAAGAAATTCATACAATTGATTGAAAACGAATCTTTCGAAAATTTTACTAACAATCGGTAAGATTGATATTGGGCGATAATTTTCACATTTTTTCCTATCTTCAGATTTATTGATAGGAACAGCCCAAGCCTTCTGCCAATCATCTATGTAGACTCCGGTTTTGATACAAAGCTTAAAAATCCACGTCAGAGAAGGGCTTATTATTTCATGTGAGATTTTAAGTACCCTTGCGTGGAAAGAATCCATGCGTGTCGATTCTGTGGTTTTAAGATTACTTAACAAAAGGAATATTTCGTATTCGCTTATTTCAGACAGAGTAAATAGAGTCACTGCACTAGTATCCAGATTTTCTGACAAGTCCAGAACATCAGCTTAGTTTTGGCCCAATGCTCACGAAGAAGTCATTAAAGGCCTCTGCTATCATTGAATTATCAGAAATAATAGTGCCGCCTATTTTTAATTGGGGAATATTGTTTGATTTAAAATTCTTACCCAGGAGGTGATTAATAAGGTGCCAAATTTGTTCAGGATCTTTAGTCTGAACAAAATCCCCAAACTTGTCGCAAAAATATATCTTTTTGGCTTTGTACAATTCAGAGTTAACTTTATTGCGAGTGTCTTTTAATTTTACCGCTTCCTTTTTGGGGAAATCTCGTGTTTTCATCAGATTTTTTATATTTGGAGTAATCCAAGGAAGTGAGTTGCCTCGGATTCGCATGCATCTAAATGGTGCATGTCGATCAAGTATTTGACTAATGTAACCCAGCACTCAAATATATACATGAAACAGTGTCATAATAAATACGAAATATTTCAAGATTTCTTCATTTTTTGTTGAAAACAAGTTCCAGAAACTAGAGAGGAGCGTGAAATTTTTTCCGGACATTAAAAAAAGGTCAAAATAATTTTCCCGACTAACATTAGTTAAGTTAAGGTTCAAAAAAATTTTTTCCGGAGAAATTCTTCTTAAAACAAAACCATTATCTGCAAAATTTAAGTTTAGAAGATTTTTTCTCACCAAATTATTTATATAAAAAAAAGTTCCAATCTTTTTTATTTTCCAAATTCGGGAGCCCCCCTTACACTGCGGGGGGCGTAAATTGCTCCCTCTGCCCCCCTCCCCTAATAGGCCCTGCTCGAAACTATAACACACAATTTTTCAAACGCAACAAGCGCACTCCTCTACAACCCTGCCTCAGTTCAATTTCAATTTATCACGCAGAACCTGGGAGCCTTTAGAAACTACTGCAAGTTTTCTTCCGTGTCTCCCAGGGCCTATGAATGTTGCGCGGGGCAGGAGGCCCTGGGAGCGAGGATGGTTCCGACCGGTGTCTTTCTTTCCACGGAGGGAAGAGCCTGCGAAAGAGTCTGCATGCGTAATAGGCATTGGTCTTTATTTTAAGGACTTAATATTGAGTAGATTTTCTGATAATCGGACCATTGATAAAACACATAACAAGTTTCTCACCCATGGACTCAAAATGTGTTTTAAACTTTTAAATTTCGCGCACAAGCTATTTTTAATGCTGCTACAAATGACTCCCCCCCCCCATTAGGCTGCTCTGGAAACTTTATGTTTACGAAAAAAATTCTTTATTGTACTTTATAATTACACGAACAATGTATATTATTTACCAATAATTGAATGAAATGAACAGGTTTGTGCAATTGAAAGCCATTTCAAAATTGTCTACCTTTTGATGTACCCTGTATATAGACTTTTTAAATTTGTTTCCCATAGGCATTTCACTTCTGGCACGAGCGCAACGCCAGACGACAAAATTTAACATTGTATGAACAAGAGCCTGTAAATATACAGGACGGTAAGTAATGTTATTATATTTTACAGACAGTGAGATCATATGTTATCTTCATACTTTCTCTCACAAATTGTTATTTTTCGTTAATTTAAAATCAAGGAATGTGGACTGACATAAGTGTAATAAATTCACTAATAACATTTAATAATTTTAATAACACTTGCCTGGCTTGTCCAAAACATATAGCTATAGGCTGACCATGGGGTCTGCAGGGGGGGGGGGGGAGGAAGGATAGAGGAATATAGTTACCAATCCTCGCTCCAGAGTTGAGGGGTTAGTTTAACAGTTCTTCGTGTTATTCCTCTCACATATGCTAACAGGAAAATTAATTTGCCTCGCAACTCTAATTTAAGGTGGCACCCTACAGTTGTCCCTATTTGCCCAACATCTCTGCAGTAGAGGCTTATTAATGCAGGTCGTGCATTTTTTTCTACTTGGAGGCAATATATAACATCAGTGGAATATCTAGGACTCGGTTTTGACAATGTCACTGTTGCCATGCAAACTGGCGAAGCTATAGAACCGCCTTATATCAGGCACAAAATTGTCTTTATCTGAAAAGAGAATCTGGTGGCATATCTTTTTTATTTCAAATATCAATAGAGCACGATGTTCTGCAACTATTGAGAAAACTTTAATAAAATTCTTTACAATGCGATTTTTTACCTCGTGTAACTCGCGAAATTCACTTTATATAAAAGCGTCGCTGACTAGTGAAACATTATCCGCCGGCATCAATCTATTAGCTGTAACAGCCAAACAGGCGGACTTGTTTTTTTTGTTTGGTTTTGCACTTTTGCTAAAAATGAACAAGGCTATGATACTCTGTAGCCTATTATATGTATTAGTCTAAACGTAACCACTTTAATCTTGTAGAGACACGAAAGTATTTCTAAACGACTTTTTACATGTTTATTAAAAGTTTGTGCACAATTTAGCAAATGTTTTTACAGTTGACAGTAAATGTTTTAAAAAAATTAAAAAACATTGTTTCGTAGCTAGTTTTTTGGTCTAGCGATATTCGTATTATACGCAGAATTACTGTATGAACTCGCAGTTGATTTGGCACTGACAACGAAGGATTGTTGAACGCTTTTTTTAAATAGTAACCTTTCAGAAATAACTTATTTGAAAAAAAAGCCCGATTAAGTTTTGTTTTGTTTTGTTTTGTTTTGTTTTGTGTTGTGTTGATTGCTGGGTTGCATGGGATAGTCCACGTACTGATCCCGCGAACATCCCGTATGCTACCGTAGGGAGCCTCCTTAAGCCAAACGATTTCAACACGGGCTGTGATAGAAAATATGTAATAATATACTAGTTTTAAGAACGAAATTAAGGAACCACTGCACAATAAGCAAGTTTTCAATTTAAAATACGGGAGACCTTCTTGTATGTTGCTGTGAACCGCGTATTTTGTTGAGACTGTATTTTGATGTGAAATTGATGAACAATATCAAGGGCTACCTCTGCTCACGTATATGAAATCTCGCATTTTGACAAATAAATTGGTATTTTACACATAATATTGGGAAACTTGGCTATTTAATTGAAAATTTTACGAAAGAAGAATATATTGGTGTTCGTGATGCTTGTGACGGTTATGGTGATGAATATATGGCTATTGTTATAGTTTGAGTGATTGTGACATTAATAATGATCGATGGTGTTCAGGAAATATTCACAGCCACATTGACACACTAGTATGAACTGCCGCCCTGATTAAATTCGTTTGTGCCTTGCAAATATATATTTATTGAACTTACCTGCTTGAATATTATATTTCAGAACTAATGCCGGTGACCATATCTTACGTTAACATATTGAATGACTTGGAGATCCCACCGTACAACCTGAAGATACTGGACAAAAAACTAGGCGCAGGACAGTTTGGTATTGTTAAACAAGGTTTATACACTCCTTCTGAAAATGATGATCCGAAGGATGTTGCTGTAAAAATGTTGAAAGGTAAAGGGGGAAATTATATTTGCTGTTACAGGATAGTGGCAATAAAATTAAAGGATGTTTGAATCGAAAACACTCCTTAATTCAATTAAACTATAGAATACAGTAATTCGTTGTGCACATTTTTTATACCTTTCTTTGGGTTGATGATATTTCTGCAGTTTAATATGTAGGGACTTCGGGGCAGCGCGAGCTCCTTTCACCAATGAGATTTTCTCGTTGCCCAACCATGAAGAAACAGTCAGCAAATTCTTTGCCCAAAGTTATAGATTTTCTCCTGGTTGTCCGGTTTCCTCCAGTTCGGTTTCCTCTGACCGGGAAAATTGAAAAGTTGGATGAAGTTGATTGCGTGGGTTTTAGAAGAAACACAGCTAATAAAAAAGGAATAACACAATTGTTATAACAGATGAATATGGTCTAGGTTAAGTAAGTAATTGCAATCTTGGACGTTCTTCTCACGTGCAAGCTTAATATATAGCATATGCATAATATGGCTAAGCTCATATATCTGCTTAAATTCTAATGAGATATTTTACTAAATAGAAAAATCTTTCGCCCAGGTCATGAAAAACTACTGATCAATTTTCATAAATCTTTATGTCTGGAAAAATTTCTTTTTGTAAAGTTGAGCTTCGTCCTCCGTACATAAGTCTTCCTTTATTAAATTTTATTGTTCTTTATCTTTCAGAAAATGCCACCCAATCCCACTTAGCTGACCTTCTGGATGAGATAAACGTTATGAAGAAAATTAGCGATGAACCACATGCGAATGTTATAAGGTTTATCGGAAGTTCCTCATTTGAAGGTGAGAATATCGTAAGAAAACCATGCATGAACAAATTATACGCATGATTGCAATTCGAGGAGTCATTTTAACGTTGCCAAGGCTTTCCATTTTCCCCGGCGTAAGTTCGCAGAAAGGGTACCAATTCAGCGCGGCTTTTTACACCCAGTATGGTGAGAACATAGCAAGGGAAAGTTTTCCTTCATTATGTGATGGGTGGCTTTAGCGTTATGCGCATAAGGGTAAAATTGTGTTTTTCATTTTGCAAATACATTATTTGCTCTTTTTTTATTAACTTTACAATCAAATGACTGATGGTAAGGACAACAGTACGTGAGTCCCTAATTAAGTCCACCAAAAACTTACATTACATAATTACTTATAGGTATTACGTAATGAAGAATACATAGTATATACATGAACATTAGGACATACTGATACAACAATTATAATTGCATATATGAACAACAGTATGTATGTAAAAACGACATTTACTGTATACAACTTTCCATGTTCTAGGACGGTGTACATCAAAAGTACTGTTTAGCTTTTTAGTGTAAAATATATATAGTTTAGATTTAAGTATGGCGACTGACGAAGAGGATTTGAAATCAGACGGCAAATTGTTTCATGCAAATACAATTCTGTTAAAGCATGAGTTTCGAAAGAGGGAGGTTTTGCACAGGTTTGGACGAAGATCACCGGAACTGGAACGAGTGGAGTGGTGAAGAGGTTGAGTTATATACTGATTGATGTCAATTTCGTACATCCCGCATTTACATTTGTAGAGGAATATGATGTCTTTAATTTCATGCCAGTGTGAAAGGGGGATTAGATTCAGTTTTTTCAAGCGACCAACGTACGACAATTTTAAGCCACTTACGCTAACTTGATTAAGGCAACATTTGACGTGGACATGCCATGCACCTGGACACTGGTGCGGGACTGCTCCTGCCACAGATCTTAAGTAGTTTTAATAGACGGTTCCTCTTATTGTGTTCGCTGAATGCAACCAGTGGCGTAGCCAGCCCGACAATTTAGTCCCGCTATGCAAATTCAAAATTATTATCATTATTCATTTCTTTAGAAATTGATTGTTTTTACAGTCAATGAACATGAAAATATTTGCATAGCGGGACCAAATAGTCGGGCTGGCTACGCTACTGAATGCAACCACATTATGCTTGTGAGTTTGAAATTATTATGCTAACACATCCGTGAAGCATTCAGGTGGTTGTGTTCATGGTGCATACTAATAGGGGGAAGTGGCTTTTATATATTTGTATTTTATGTATGTGTGTATTTATACTTATGTACGTATTTCGCTGCTTCGGGGTTTGCACCTTGCATGGGACTTCGCGTCCCGTTTGTGCTTATGCCATTTGAGTTCATATTAATTATACATAATATTAATTATATATAATTAAATATAATTATATATAATTATATATAATATTAATTATATAATGTAATGTTCTCAATAAATATATTTGAAACGACAATTCATAGTCCTGAAGAATAAACTTTGTTGTTCGACGTTGAATTCCTTCGAGATGAAGCAGATCCGCAGACGGACCTTGAGGAGCCCAGACTTCACAACCGAACGATAAATGAGAGCGGACCAGAGACAAATACAGAAGGCGGCGAGCATCCACCTCAGCGAGGTGGAAACAATTGCATCGCAGAAACCCAAGCATTCTGTTGGCTTTAGAAACGATATTGATGATATGTTGGGACCATTTTAAATTGTCGCTCACCAGTATGGCCAAATCGCTCTGTGTGGAGGAAGACTTTATAAGTTGCTGGTTTAGGGAGCAGTCTTGTCGTGGAACGGAGATTTTCTTTCGTAAAAATCAGAGAACAACATTATTATGTTTAATGCAAAGTTTTAAAAAAGTTCACCGAAGGCAATTTTCAAAATGGCCTGAAAAAGACAAATTTTGAGCTTTATTCTAAGGATGATGTTGCCATGGTAACAAACATTCAACAGAAAAATAGCAAATTGCAATGTGCAGGAGAGCATTGTCAATGTGTCCAATAAATTTCGTCTTCATGTCATGTGAAGTGAAGAAACAGGAGTCTCCTAGATACTATAGTGTAGTATAGTTAGAAAAACCCTAGGGAGCCACCTTTTAAAACTGGCAATAAGCCTGCAGTTCATGAATTGTTGGCTGTCAACCGTAAAACAAAAAAAGAAAGGCGGAAACTCGAATTTTGACGAAGACACGAATTTTGTTTTGACCATGTTTGGGTAAGTGTAAAAATTTGAGTAGTAAATTTCCATAATAAACTTGTTTTGTTTAGTGGAGTTTATTAATATCTGCGAAATTTTTAGTCATTCTTAAGTCAAATCTCAATAATTCACAATAAAAACTGTGTTTTTATCCAAGCTGGAAATGAAGGAATTGTCATCGATCATTAATACAGCGCATCAGTTGTTTTTTGTGTGTTTATAATGATCTTTTACATAGAGTAAATGTGGCATGATCAAACTATAATTAAAAAAGGGTGTAAAACAAATATATTTTACGACTGTCGGCAAAACGAGTTTTCCAGTTTCTCCTGGCCTTGCAGTTTCACGCGGCAAAGTTTCAAAACGTTTTCCCGTTTTTATTTTAAATTCATTTTATTTTAAATAACGTAAAACTACATACGAGATTTTAAAAATAAATTATTCTTTAGTCTCAATATTTTCCCATTATATTACTTTCACGTTACCAAGGCAAGTTGCGCCATTCTTTTTAATCACCAAATATTTCATGCGGAATTTCTATACCTCATTTGTTTATAAAAAAAAAGGCAAAGGGTTACGTGCATGGATGTATGGATGTATTTCTAGTTAAACAATAGATCTGGATTGTTAGTTTGTTTGTTACATTTTGTGAAGGCTAAACCACTGAAGCCATTTCGCTTTAATTTGCTACGCCCTCCTTGGAAATCAGCCTTTGTTGTAGGGCCGGTTTGCATAGTAAAATAAAGTTTTACCTACCTACCTACCTACCAGCTTCTATTTTGGGTAACTTAGGTTTTAGCTGACTATTACCGCAAACGGAAAACTTGGAAAATCATTATTAAATTCCGAAAACCAATGAGCTATTCCCGTTTATAATCGAGACGCGATACTATCAACATGACGCCCAAATTAATTTCCACTGCAATTTAAACTCGTTTTAAAATCTACAAATTTCAAAGTTCGTAATTCGAAAAAAACAAAAGCCCTATTTTAATAATGCAAAAAATGGAAAGTAATACGACACAGATTATTTGGAAGCTGACCCACACTCAAGTCCTCACAAGTTGTCAGTCAGTAAAATCAAAGTTATCAGTCAGTAAAAATCGAAAAAACTCGGCAGGTTGTCGAACAGCATTGAGCATGTCTGGCTAGCTGTTGGTCGTTGTTACCAACATGCAACACTTGACGCAGATACATGTACACTTAGCATGCCTAGTTTTGAGAGATCTGTCCAACAAAGACAAGAAATCGCAACTCACAAAGTAAAAGCTATTGAGAATGGAGGACGCCGTGCTTTCTTTTACGACACTGTGTGGAATTATATGACTCAGGCACAAACGTTTCACTATTATTCTTTTACAATGTTAAAAGCTATAAGTGCTGACAATTTCTACCCTTAGAGTGATTAACATATTTTTTGTACGTCAGGAAAACCTGTGTTGGTAATCGAGTTTTGTCGTGGTGGAAGTCTCCTTAAATTCCTAATCCAAAGCAGAGTGAGTTATAACTCGACACCAAATTATGTTAATATAACATCAACATTAAGTCATCGTCAACTGTTGGAAATGGCCGTACATGTGGCAAGTGGAATGGCTCATCTTTCTGCTCAGAAGGTAATTGAGTTATTATAACGAGGTGTTTAGATTTAGGTATTCCTAAAACTGCCTGTACCAGTGTTGGTAGTACAAATGTGAAAATGCTGTGCTGAGTGGTTATATTACTACCTTAAAAAATAAGCAGAAACTTGACGTTTCGAGCGAAGGCTCTTCGTCAAGAGTCAGTAGCAGGCCTGCTACTAACTCTTGACGAAGTGCCTTCGCTCGAAACGTCGAGTTTCTGCATATTTTTTAAGGTAGTAATATAACCACTCAGCACAGCGTTTTAGGTATTCCATGCGCGCAGGGGCGGATCTAGGATTTTTCGTACGTTAGTCAAAAAGGGGGAGGGGGGTACTTTTGACTGGCGGAGGGGTACTTTTGACGGGGTGTCGAAAAGGGGGGGGTTGCCAAGCAAATTAATATTTTTTATATGTGTTCTGTTTACGAAAAAATGTAACTTAAAAAATTGCTTTTTCGCCGAATGTCAAACAGATATCCAATTCTCATCGAGAAATAGCTTGACAAGGATGACTTGACGTTTTAAAAATTGTTATTTAATCGCATATTTTTTCCCTTGACATGGATGGTCAAACAAAATGCAATATAGTGATGCAGTTTAAACATTTGATTGATTAAGCAGGAAGAGAATTTCCACGTTTAATTCACTGCTCCTCGAGTTTCATTCGTAGCAGAAACATGCGCCATAAATAAGTATTCACAATGGCAACATGATCCATTTTACTTGTTGTGTACATGTTGTAGAGATCGTATTACACAAGGCCATGCTACATTGTCGTGTTCTTGTAGTTTAAAATATTAAATAGGTATAAACAGTGTTATTAAGTAGCGATCTGATTAATATATAAAGTCTACATGTCACAAGAAGCATAAACAAGGTATAAACACACTGAAACTGCCTGTATTAAGCCGCAATATTTATATAAATTGACGGAAATATTATGTAAATTTCGTCTCGTATTATTATACGTCTTATACGCGTACCCGCCGATATTATAACATGCATATGCGTACAGACCACAATCCACCACAGTATACAACATGTTATAATGCTATATCTAGTTAAAATAGAATATATACATCTTAAGTTAAGGCCGTACAAAAGATTTTTGTCTTCTCTCGAACGTACTTCAGGATGTAAGATTCCGCACCAAAATTTCGTGCGAGGAAGGCTGCTTATGTTATTCACAACGCTCAATAAATCTTTAATAGAAAACTTCGGTACACCGTTATCGCTTGTTTAAATCAGCTTCAATATCTTTGACATTTCGTCGATCGTCATTCTCTAAAGCAGCCTTTACAGTTTCGTAAATACTAACAGACATGGCTGGTTTTAGTTCAGAATTTCTGATAGTAAATCTTCCCATTGAACTTTAATAATTTGCGGTCAAGCACAAAGTAGCGATCAGAAAGGGCCAGAAACGTCATAGACCTTTCCGTGCACTAATGAAGCCTGAACGGTATGATCGATCAAAAAAATCCAGCCAATGGGAATTCAGGATTGTTTTGAATTAGCCAATCGGATAGCCTCTATTCGAGCCCCTGATCGCTTTAGCGATCAGAACTCCCCACAGATCGCGCAAAAATCGAGATAGCCAATCAGATGGCTGGAATCTGACTCAAAGCGTGCAAAACTCATGCGTAAGACCGCTTTTCTGCGCGTTCATGTTCGAAGGCCTTGCTACTGAATGATATTTCAAAACTGGACTGTTAAACTTTCAATACATTACACTGCGCGAAGTTTGATAACAGGACTGCTATTTTAATTTAACAATTAACCATTTTTCTGGCCAATTTTTACCTTAGTCGCGTGATCGCTCTGATCATCCCTAGATCCGCCCCTGCATGCGCGTTCAGGCGTTATCATCATTAACAATAATGATAACGTCTGAATGCTATCATCACCATCAACATTATCATTATCATTATCATCATTATCATCAGGCGTTATCATCATTATTAATATGTACTGTGCTCATTCCAATCAATGACAAAAATTAGCTACTGTATACATGGATTTTAGGGTTAGAGCTAGTGTAGTCCGAAATATTTGAATTAAGATGGGTTCAGAGCAATGGGTTCAGAGCAAGTCGTGCTAAAATATTTTATTTATCTCTTCAGTTTGTTCATCGTGACTTAGCAGTTAGGAATGTTCTTATTGGCGAAGAAAATGTAGCAAAAGTGTCTGACTTTGGTTTGTCGAGAGATATTGGAAATGCTGAAGAATATATACGAAACAAGCAGGTAACCTAGTATTAAGTACTATTTAACTATTGACTATGTACATTACAGATATAAATTCGCCTGGACTATATCTATTCGCTAAGACAAAACAAGGTGCATGGGCCTTAATTGCTACGAGTTCTGTTGGATGAAACTGCTGCACCATCCTAGGCGGTGATAACGCTGGACAAACAATTAAAATAGACTTTTAATTGCGTCAGCTAGATAATATTACGAATGAACAAAAAGGCAGACTGCATTCCTCATTTTCTTGATGAATTCGATAATCTATACTATAGTTTTATTATCCAAGTATGAATCATATCATATTAATGATCAATTCTCTCACATCCCTCAGCATGGTTGCCTTTAATTTGTAGCTCCCGTATATATTTTTATGTGTCCATAATCCATTTTGTAGAATTTACTTCCAGTGAAATGGATGGCACTGGAAAGTTTAATACATGGTTGTTTTACAACAGCTAGTGATGTGTAAGTTTTTTTCTAAATTAACTTCACGCGGGTTGAGATTCCCAGAATTAATTCGCATTATAATAAATATGCTGTTGAACGAATGTTCTCCCCTATATTGATATTTTTTACATATTATTATTCGTTAGACTCTGTTTTAGAATGACATTCACGTACAGAATTTACCTAGGTCTATCAACGTTAACATTACTGAATATGCATGTAGCCTAATTCTGTGGCGCCCATTCCATAGATTCTCGCGCAGTTTGGCATTAAGCATTTAAACGGTTGCAAGGAATTTGCCTTCAGTTACTAGCTTTGTGGCGTAATTTCTGAAATATCTATATCTATATATATATCCTCAATTTAGACAAATTGTGCGGGGTTTTTATGACATTGCATAACAAAGCGATTACAAGTGAATGAGTTCAGTCGTTCACATTATGTTATATATTGAATTAATCATTTCGTGGCTCAATTACATATATTTGCAAGTTACGTATACAACCGCATGCGGATAATCCCCTTCGTATGATCATCATTAAAATTATGTCAAGTCCATACAGTTTTTGATGCGTGATATAGTATCAGCTGCAACTGCAAGAAGCGCAAAACCCGTAAATTATCCGCGATGTCGTAGAAAAAATCAAACAAAGTACAACTGCATGTTGACATTGCCACGTTTTTTAATTTAAGACCGGTACTTTACCAAGTGTTTTTATTTATTATATTTTTTATTTGTAAACATGTCGTGCGCATGCGGACTGACAAGGACAGGTATGTTGTAATTCCATTTCAATAACTTATTATTCTTTTGATGCAGGTGGAGCTTTGGTATTCTTCTTCATGAAATTACAACTCTTGGTGGGTAATGCTGAAAAATCCGAATAAAATTAATTTTGTACTTCTCCGACATGAGATACGTCAAACATAGTTTTAGACTATTTTTTTGTAGATTGACTCATCTAGGGAGGCTGGCACCTTTACATGGAGAAACTCACATATTTCTCTTCTTTCGTTCAGTTCGAGAAGTGCCAACCTAGCTCCCTCGATTCTTCAACTCCGGAGGAGCTTTCGTTGAAATATGTTTGCATGATATACGGTTAAAATTCGGTGTTTACCAAACAATGCACTGACTCATTTTACAGTCTTGCTCGACGTTCTTGCTAAACATTTTATCACAGTAATTTGGCATTTCTTGCGTATGTTAAAATTTTACACCTTTTAATTCCTTTACATCTTTTAACTACATTACAGTATTCCGCAAATTTTTTAGGTGAAGAACCATACAAAGGCATATCGACGTATCACATTGTTAATCACGTGGGGTCTGGATGTCGAATGCCAAAACCATCCCACTGTTCCAATGAAGTGTGAGTAGCAACTGAATTGTGTTGTTTTTCATAACGATTTTACGAAAGGGTGAAGCAAACACTGCAAGACGTTTGTTCATTATAGTTATGATGAAATTAAGAGAGATTTACCCAAAGTAATAACTAGTTTTCTTTGGTAGAGATGCAACTATAACTGAAAAATATAAGGAGAACTGTTTCGACGTTTTGAGCGATGGCTCTTTGGTTGGAATACTAGGGGGAAGAATATAAAAATATCACGTGACAAGAAATAAGCCAATCGATTTAGTAAAACCGACGATTTTAGTAAAAACAAAGTATTAACAAAAAATGTAAATCACATTGCAGAATATAAAACAAATCGACGCTAAATATAACGATCATTTCATTCCGGAGATTATATGGGAAAAGCTCTTGAGGTTGGGCATCGTTGTCTCCTGGATTTCTTCTGTGATATAATCTTGAATGGTAGGTACTGTCAATAATATTAACAAGCTTTCGTTGGTAGGGATGCAACTATCTGAAAAATATAAGGAAAACTTGACCCCGCTAGTACCTCCATGCAAACGAAGGCCTTCGCGCTTGAAACGTCGAAATTTTCCTGATATTTTAGAGGTAGTTGCATCCCGACCAATGAAACGTTGTTGATATCAAGATTGGCACTATCTGCACTAACACAGACAGCTCAAGATTATTACACAAAGAATATAATTCTCGGGGTCCAGCATAGACAGGCTGTGGCCAGTGTAGAAAAGAAAATATTTTGCGAGGCTCGTACCAGCCAAATTAATCCGAAATACTAAAATAATATTTCTCGACGTTTTGAGCGAATGTCACTCTTAAAAAGAATGCCCTTTGCTGTACTGACACGCACAGTAGCTGTGTTGTATTCCGTGTAAGGAGAATTATTCTAAGGAAAGTTAAATTTAATTCATAATTTATTCAACAGTGTATTCTAAGGAGAATTAAATTTAATTCATCATTTTGTTTCATCCGTAGATCAATCGTTCAGAATGCATTTCAAGAAGCAGTGCATGCACTTTAAAAGCTTACTGATGAAAATAACCAATTTGAATTGATTGCCTCATTTACATTTATTTGACCAGTATTTCACTGGTAGCAAACAGAAACTGAGTTATCTTTTTCGTTGTTTTAACCAAATAATATTGGTCAAAAGAAAATGCATCAGCGACAACTGATTCAAATTGGTTCTTATAACCAATTTGTTTTTACAATGTGTTCTTAATTAACACAAGCCATAATTGCTTAGCTAGAGACAAGGCAGAGAATAAAAAAAAACGAGAAAGCCTATTCTCTTAGTTTACCAGACCGGTATGTATTTTGTTGTAATAGGCCAGTAAACGCGTTTACCGCAATATTCAAATCTACAGTAAGTGTTTACAAACTGTTCGCTTCAACATACCTCCTAACCGGTGTTACGGTGCTATCTATTCCCCGGACCAGCACTTATCTCCATATCATCCTCCAACAGGATCAATGCAACATCATGGCAGGGAAGATATTTACAACAATATTAGTCCGCGTACGTAATGGACAAACAGAGAGGAAAGTTACGTGCTTCATAACGCGACAAACGTGATAAAAACATGGAGGTTCAAGAACTTTTGTTGTCGCATAGCTTCCTTTGTTAATCTGAATACAGCGTTAATCTGAATACCGCTTAAAAAATATAACAATGTAGTCTAATTTAGACAAATGTAGTCTAATGTTACTTTGCGAATAGCAAAGATAATTCCAAAACAACTTTGTATCCTCCACAAAGACGACTTTCTCTAACGATCTGCCATATAATTTGCTTGTAAGTCTAAACGAAATAATATAAAATCCGTAGAATTTTACAGAGGTGCTACCATGCAGAACTGGCTTCACGTATAATATATCCTGACTTGATAGACCTATATTACTTTATAGACCTGTGCTTAAACGTTTGACGAAATATATCTCTATTGTTTCTCTAACATTTTATCATTTGTTTTAGTTTTGTGCAAATAGAATATATATATACTGAAGGCTATTCGTTTTAGGTATGAAATAATGGCAAATTGCTGGAAAGTGAATCCAAAAGACCGACCTACATTCCTGGAAATATTGCAAGATCTTCGCGAAATGCTCGCTGATAATGAGGTACACTGTACAGAAGTCATTTTATAGGTGGAGTGTATACTTCCATGATGTGCTGTTTAAATGAGCTGACGTTGCTAGATTTGTAAGATACGTGTGGTACAGGGTTATACATATAGATGAGTGATATGTTTATTTCTATAATTATATTGGTGCATTTTGAAAAGAAAAAACCGTATAACCTCTTTTATACTTACATGTAGTAGTTCATATTTCCCTTTTTCTTCAACTTCATGCAGAATAGGTATAAAGCTTGAGCCGAGATCGACGAAGGTCAAAGTCTTTGAGTTGAAAAAACGTTTAATTGAATTGCCAGGCATACTGAATCTTTTCTAAGCAATTAAATGTGCCCAGACAGCTCAGTGGTGTCAAGTAACGAAGTAAATGTAGTTCGTCATTGTACTTGAGTACTATTTTTGAGAAGTCAGCATATAACAAGTAAACTATTTCTGGAGTACTTTTACTTGGGAACGAAGTCGTTTTAAGAGGCAATGTTTCACTTCGTTATTTTCATTTTGTGGCGAAGTATTTCGTTACTTTCTAACTTTTGTTTAATTTATGTGATATATTCGGGATTTATTTTAATTTTGGCATGGGTAATAGGGCCTCTGCATGCGTCTGGGATCTCTCGTTTGTGGCTTATTTATCAGCATTTTATTTAATGGATTTCTTATATCTTCAAAGGGGTCTGGAAAGTAGACCATGCCGTAAATTATATTGTATGTTATAGGTGCGCGCATATAATGCGCGTGTTGTTTTGTGTCTTTCTATTGGAGAAATCTGCTCCCCCCTTACATGCTACAGACAATAGTAATTTTACTTTTACTTTTTACTTCAAGTATTTTTAAGGATACTTTGTAATTTTTTTACTTAAGTACGTTCTGCTTCCAGTACTTTTTACTCTTATTTATGTCGTTTTATTGTTATTATAATTATACTTATATCTTTACTCGAGTACAAATATACTAAGTAATTTAGGCATCACTGCAGCTCCCTTTTACATTAGAATATACAGTAAAATTCAACAAACAAACCAAATCTACAAATATTACGGCCTGGGAAACTGCTAATGGATTATTTTGAAGAGTTATCAATACTACATTACGTACATAAAACAAAAACTATATAGCCTATACTATATCTAACTAGCACCATTATCAAAGGCGAATAAATTTATGGGTGACGGTTTGTCAATTCTTCACTATACTGTACCTAATTTAGTTTAAACATCAATTGCGATTTATAAATCGATGTATTAAATCTAGTCTCACGTGAATAAATAAAAGGTGGAAATAGAACGTAACGCCATATACAATTTTGGGTTAAGATCGAAATTATGAAAAGAAGCTGCAGTTCGCCTACGCGGCAACACGCTTATTTGAGAAGAAACTCTAATCCTGCCATTTTAATTTACATTTAGAAATCCCACATCGATGTTCAACAAGTCGAAGACAAGAAATTACAATCAACGATTGAGCAGAGTGATTCGAGCATGCAGGATGATGACACAACCGGCGACACATCTCTTTGAAAAACATCATTTTATTAGAGAACTATACAGGGTGTAGAAAACAGTGCACATGCAGTTGAAAAAAGTTCACTAAAATCAGATGCGCGTGTACCCTGGATTCCAGAGCCTTCAGTAAATAATAAATTGAAAAGTCGTGAATGCTCTGGTTCAACGGGAGAGTTCTTTGATTAAACCGCGCCAATCACAAAACAGAATTAATGGTTTTAGTACAGATTCTGTACTAAAACCATTAATTCTGTTTTGCATGTGATTGGCGCGGTTTAATCAAAGAACCCTCCGTTGAACCAGAGCCTTCACGACGTTTCACTTTATTATTTACTGAGGGCATTGGAATCCAGGGTAATGCGCGTGACATTTGCAAAAACTTTCAGTAGGCTATGTACTTTGACGTTCTCTGGTACATCTAGCACTAAAATTATTTAAAATGCTAGCGTTTTTAGGTTAAGAAAGCGGTTACTTAAAAGCCACCAAAAAGCACTTGCGCAAAAACATTTTTCATCGGAAACAATATTTAATCACACAGAGTGAAAATAAGGACTGTCTTACACAAGCTATCAAAGATTCAAGAAATTTGGTGCACGCGTCGGCCAACGCGAGATCTCCAAAACCTCGATTTTCCGTCCCATTTCGGTCAGTTCAAACGCGATTTCTTTCCATGATTTCAAATTAATTTTATGCATGCTGGGATGTTCGCATAAATTACAGTACGAAATTCGCAAACAAATTCCCGAAGGTGCTGTCACAAAATTATTTACATGCAGTGTTTATTTACAAAATTAATCTCACCTTAAGAAGGCAAGTAGAAGATTGAATTTGTTTGTAAATAAACCCTGCATGTCAATAATTTTGTAAATAAACGCTGTAATAACTCTAGGATCTTTGGGAATTGGGTTGCGAATTTCGTACTGTAATTTATTCAAACATCCGAGCATGCATAAAATTAATTTCAAATTAAGCAAAGAAATCGCGTTTAAACTAACAAAATGGGAGACAATCCAAGTTTGAAGTCTCGCGTTAGTACATTATTATTCAGCTCACTCTCCATTGGGATTTTTCAGTGACCGATTACATCAAGTATTACGATTATTTATGTTATTTACTTAGCCTAGATTATTTATCTTTACAACATTTGAGATATTACTTTTCCTAACTGTGTTTATCCTAACCCACCCTGCTAACTTCCCTGTGGGATGAAACCGGAGCACCCTGAGAAAACCGTGACTTTCGATAGAGTGTTGACAGACTCTTTTCACATGAGTCCGTAGCGAGAATTGAACCCACGATCTAAGAGGTGAAAGGCACTTCCTCTTATGCCTGCGTCGCCGAAGCCCCTACGCGTGCACCCGCTATGCGTGCCCCAAATTTCTTGAAACTTTGACAGCTTGTGTAAGACAGGCCATTTTTTACTCTGTTTGATTAAATATTGTTTCCGATGAGAAATGTTTTTTGCTCAAGGCCTCTTTTTGGCTTTTTTTTTTTAGTAACAGCCAGTGTTGTGACGAGTCACCTACAGGTCGAGTCACGAGTCGAGTCACTCAAAGGTCGAGTCACGAGTCGAGTCGAGTCATTTCAGTTTCTGATCGAGTCGAGTCGAGTCAGTGGTTTCACTCGAGTCGAGTCAGCGGTTTCACTCGAGTCAAGTCGAGTCACTGGTTTAAATCGAGTCGAGTCAATAGCCAGACTTAACTTGAGTCAGGGAGGTTGATCAAGTTTACCCACATCCTTGTCCCCAGGGCCTCTCGGCCGCTCGCGTCCACCGTAGGCCCTGGAACATACTGAACCGGAAGTGCAAGAAAACTTGCAGTAGTTTCTAAAGCGCATGGTCTTGAATTGAGACACTTTAGCACCCGTAACAATTTTTAAAGTGAAGTATTACGAAGAAACGAAGTATTTGCGTTGACATATGTTGATAGAATAATTTTTCCTAGCGAAAGCTGCTCAACTTCTGCGAAATAGCATTTCTCTCAGAAGCCAATCAGATCTCTCGCTAGTAGTCGTCTAACCCAGAACCTGATTTTCAACGAGTGACCGAGTGAAAATGGCTCTGGGGACGAGAATGGTCCAACCAGCGCTTTCTGCAATAGTTCGTTACCTTAGCTTGCATTTTGAAATTTGTAATCAAATTTACGTTTTAAGCTAATCACTTTAGTCATGTAATAACAGTGTCTGGGTAACCAT